TATTTTGAATAATAAACAATATATTATATATTATAAATATATATTTATATATGTAATGCTTATTTATTAATTTATAATATATAAAAAATATAAAGATATATATAATATACATAAAATATATAGAAATATATGTATACCAATCTGTTCGGTTAACTGTCAATTTTCTATATTAGTTAACCAAAACCAAACCAATACCTTTGGTTTTTTAAAAATACCGAATCGAGGAATTCAGTTGATCGAATTTTCAGTTGGGTTCAAGTTTTCGGTTTTTATTGCTTGTACCACTACTAAATTCAATACCAAAATCCAGCCCATTTACTGTAATCTAAGGGTTCGTTTGGTTCATAGTCGGAATCGGAATGGACCATTCCCATAATCTGTTTGGTTCAGATCGGAATGGGAATGGGAATTAAAATCAACAGGAATGGAATTTCATTCCCAAGGGAGGGGTAGGGAATGGCCATTCCCTCGAATAGGGGAATGCCATTCCAACAAGAATGGGAATGGGATTCCGATTACGCCCAACCAAACAATTGGAGTCGGAACAGCCCATTCCGATTCCGATTCCAGACCCCTATTCCTGCAAACCAAACGGACCCTAGGCTTAATGCATCTCAGGTAGACCTGTTCATGGGACGGGTGGCCCGACGGGCCGGCCCGGCCCGGACTGACCCCCGGACGGGCTTGAACAGGCTTTTTGGCCCACGAGCTTAACCTCGGCCCAAAAAGCCCGGCCCGCATAAAATTCGAGCCGGGCTCGGGCTTTGCCAAAATAGCCCGGCCCGACTTATAGTTAAACCTAAGTTAAAACTCTACGTGATGTCCATTTGAATAAATTTTTTGATTTGAGAAGGTTGTTGATTCACTTGTAGGCCCATTGTTCATTTAAATAGGGAAAAAAAACATCTGAATTTAAATAGATAATGTCTACTTGAATAGGGAAAATTTTGAATTTCTTTTATTAGGTCGGGCTTCGGGCTCGGGCTCGCGCTCGGGCTCGGGCTTGGGCCTAACATTTTTCTGTTAATAAAGAGTTAAAGCCCGGCCCGAGCCCGGCCCATGAATAGGTCTAATCTCAGGTAACAAAATCTAAAAAATGAATAGTGGAAAGTTAATATATTGAATGACAATCCATCTTATTATATCATCTGCCGGTAGCATCGTTTGGCTATTGTCTTCTGGTCACGCTGTAGTCTGTACTGATTGATTGTCACAAGTACTTCTTAGGATTGTTCATAAGAATGCCCAACCCGACCAAACCGACCAACCCAGACCGACCCAACCCGAGTTGGCCGGGTTTTCATCAGTACCGGTCGGTTTTGGGTTGGGAAAATATATAAACCAATATATCGGGTCGGTTTCAGTTTTCTTGTGTGAAAACCGAAACCAACCCGACCCGAACCAAATTAGTCTTCTACTAGTTCGGTAGTTCCTAGTTTGAGTAGTTTCCTACTTAACTATAACTAGTCTTTTACTAGAAGTAGAAGGCCCATTAGGTAACTACAATTAGAATAGGCAATATATCCTAGTTTCTAACTTTCTATAATCTTTTACACCAAATAGGCAACCCATTAGGCAATTACAATTAGAATTCAATTAGGTGTCCTTTTGTACAGGAACAAAACCGAAACCGACCCAAACCGACCAGGTCGGTTTGGCCTATCAGTGGGTCGGTTTCGGTTTCCACCTCAGGTAACCCGACCTGGTCGGGTCGGTTGGGAAAACCCCAATAAACCGACCCTGACCCGTGAACACCCCTAATAATTCTTTATCCGTAGAAATTCAATTAAATTAATAAGGTTTAAAATATAGAGAGTTAAACTTGAAATTGTTACGACACCACCTACCGCAGACTCTAAATGTCATTTTTGTTTTTTTCACAGTTCATGAGTTGAGAAATTTCAGACTTATTATCATTAGGTTGATGGAGCATAAAAAGTAAAAACAGGTGGAATATAATAACTACGGAAGCAAAGATTAATGAAGTTTGTGGAGCATAATAATAAGTCGATAAACTCTGATTCTTTATTGCTAATATTATTTATTATTTCATGAAGTAAAAAAGTCGTAGAATAAGCTTTCCACTCACTGTTGGCATAGAGTACATATATATATATATGGAAAGAAAAGATGGAGCAAGCAGCAGCAAGCTAAGAACCTAAGACTGAATCATCGATCATGGAGAAGGCCGAGGGTGATCAGGAGGGTGAAAGGGAGGGCAGGCTTGAATACAAAATTGTCTTTCAGGCCAACAAGTTTCCATGGGCTTTGCCGCAGTTAGACAACACCAACACTTGCCTCCACAATATGCCCTGATGCATGGATAAAGATTAAGTTTGCTTTCTTCTAGCCCATACCCATTACGCTTTGCCTTTGAAATTTCATCTTCGCTGCTATGGCCTGTTTTAATTTTTCACAGTTAAATTAAAATCAACAACATTCAATTAATAATAGTGATCGGCAAAGAAAGAAAATTAAATGAAAACAGCGGTTTCATTACTTCCTACATTCATGAAGTGCGAAAAGAGAGACGAGAACAACCAAAAGGAAGGCTAGAAGCACGGTATTGAACTTTGTGATTATTGCCATGGATCGGATGAGAGAAGAAAAACTTGCATGAATATGATATGGGATGCCACGATGCTTTTTTTTTTTTTTCTTCTTGTTTATTTATAGGGAATGTAATGGGGCGGGTTGAATTGAGATCCTATCCTGTACTGTATCCATATTTAACAGGTTTGGATTGGATTGTTAAAATGGCCCATGTCAATAAACAAGTTGGGTATGGTTTGGGTCCATTTGGATTTGAATTGAGATCCTATTAAGGCAGGAAGAAATATTGTCGAAGCCACTAGGTGCCATGTAACACGTACGGGTCAAAGGTGATTCAAGAATGCCTTGCCATTGTTGTGCGTGGTTTTATGTTCTTCCGATTTGTTAATTACACCTTAACCGTTTTGATCACTTAAAGCGTTTATAATCGAATACACTTTCAAACCGTTGGATGAGAATCTCTATTGTGGCATTGTTGTGGTACTAAAATGGAAACGCAATGCCAAGGTAACCAGACAAATACAGGGGCAAATCGAAAAGGTGGTTCAGTCAACATTCAGATACAACCCAGATACATACATTTTCGATCGGGTTAAAGCCTTGGGTAGGGTTTAGACTTTAGATTGTGACCCGTAATTTCTATGAAAAGAAGAGACGTGCTACAATGAAACAGCAATGAAGCACCCTCATGTCGAAAATTAAAAGAAAAAATTATATGATCAGGACCCACCATTAGTGGATGATATGATGGATCTAAATCCTCTAGGAATGGGAGATAAGGACACCTTGATTGTTGCATTACACTCTACAAAATATATGAGTAAATAACGAGAGACTTCCAGCTAGCTCTTACTTTTCTTTGAATTTCGAAAGAATCTACCTTTATAAGAACAAAATGTTCTGAACTCCTGATTAATCTAGATTTATAATATTATATGATTTTTTTTTTTCAAATCACAAATTTAGCTTCCACCGACTTACTGAAGTTATCAACATATACCAGTTTGATTCATTTCCTTAAATCACTCTTCCCTTCCTTGAACCATGAAAGAGGCAATGATCATCAAGTCTTTGCATGTGGAGACAATGTTAGCAAATCTCAGTCCATCAAAAGTATCGTGGTTGTTACATCTACCAACCCAACAAGCCCATTAAATAAGACAATGGGCCTGCAATACGTGGGCTCTTATAATAGAACCACCTTTCAGAGCGGAATCTCTGACTAGCAAACCCTAAATTTTGAGAAGTTCTCTGTCAAAAGCTATACAGCATTCACCATATGTAAGAGACTGCAACTTCTAATTTCTATAATAATTCATGACTCGAATAAGATTAATATCAAATAAAACCATTAATTAAATCATAAGTAAATCTATGAAATCTAAACATGATCTTATCGCATATTTACCTAAATTTGGATTACCTGAATGCGATGACTGTATAATGGGTTGTGGAACTAATGATCATAACGCCCCACACCAGTGAGAGATTAAATGATTGTGGGGCATATCATTGATTCCACAGCCTGGTAGACGGTCATTGCATTCCGCTAATCCTATCTCTATAAAAATTTTAAATGAATGAACTAAGGTTATTGCCTTTTTTTAGTGAATAAGATTTTAAGGAGGTTGGCGATTCCTTAATGACTGAAACTGGAACTGAGTAAGTTATTATACCTTTAAATATTTTATTATTTAACTATTTTTATCCACGTAACAAAAAACAAACAATAAATCGTTCAATTCGGCAACTTGAATTGTTATCAAACAGCCCCTAAAGATCATCAAAGAAGATTTATCCTTTGGTGACTGTCGTGACTGATAGTTTGATATGAAAAAGGAGCACAAAGATGCTGGTACAGTGTGTCAATAGAAAGAAACCACGTCTGGATGAGAATGCTGCCTCTGAAGATGGGTTCTATCTTCACTACATGTTCCAGCGGGAGAGGAGTACAAGAATAATGTAAAACCACACAAGGATGTCAAGTGCATGTCTCATAGGAAGTTATATATTAAGAAGTATCTGTTTTATAGTAATTCATAGGAAATGCCATAAAAAATCTTATGGGTTGTTTAGGGGACTAAAACCCACTGTCAAGTTATGGGGGCCCAAAATCCATATAAAAAAAAATTATGGGGCCCAAATGGTCATTTGAGAATTTGAATGGAAGAACTTTGAATTATGAGAATAAGACGTATCACGCTATAGTTTTCATATCAGCATGGGACACGTCGGAGAATAGAATGCAGCATAACAATGGACGGGGTCCACTTCAGAAATCTGAAATTATATTAGTAGCTCCCAGCCTCTTATATAAATTGTTCGTGAATTTGATATCAATTCATGGTCAGAATTCATTTCACCTATACGATAAGATTAATATTTCTTATCGTATAGGATAGAAACCCCCCAAAAAAATTGACAAGTAAGCATGAATAAGTAGATAAGTACAACGCGACCGTGCCGGATCCCGATAGATGTAAGTTTGTATACAAACTTTGAAAGACAAGTGATCCAAGTTGTGACCTCGTAGGCTAGGCAGACGAGTGATCCTGAAATACCAACAATTTAGAGAGACCACTGAAAAAGACAACTAGCTTTTCCTCTTTTTTCTTTGGGGGTGGTGCTGTCACCATTCACCAAACAAATGGCACCCTGAGAAATCGGTTTCATGATTCAGTAAGTGGAGATTTGACGACCAGGATGTCGAAATTTTGATTTATATTTTAGAAATCAAAATCAATTATTTTGGCGAATATCATTTTCGCCAAGAAAAGCTGAACTTGTGAACCTGTGATCCATATGACAATAATATCTATAAAAAAAAAAAAAAAAATAGTGTGGGTGGGGCCACCCACCACCAACTGCCTATGCAACTGCTGACTTCCATTTCTCCCAAAAAAATCGTTGTCACAAACGTACGATAATAATAATAATTATTATTATAATTACTAATTTCAAACGAAAAAAATTGCGGAATCCATCCAACTGATACCACTGTTGATTGCCTGAGCGCTGACAGCTCAGAAATCAGAAACTCGCCCGCTTGACCGACGTCAAAGTAATGGCGGCTCCCAAAGCCGATTTCCCAACTTCGATCTCAAACGAATCGTAACGTTGGAACATTTCCACCACCAACAGCCTAGATACCAGCACCACGAAATCCTTCCCGGCGCACTGCTTGTTCTCCACCGTCGGACTTTCCGCCTCCGGTCCGTTTGACCACAACACGTGCTTCAACAACTTTTCCCCCTCTCCGACGAATCGATCCGGCACGAACTCTTCCGCTCTCTCGAATATCTTCGGGTCTCTCGTTGCGAAGGGCTGATACCCAAACAACATCTCTCCTTCCTTCACCTCGAAGGCCGCATCGTGGCTCTCGATCACCAGGTCTCGCTTCGCTTTCCCGTATTGTAGGGCAACCGGTGGCTCGATACGCAACGCTTCGTACACCACCGACTTCATCAGCGGCATCTGTTCCATCGCCGCCATCGTCACCTTTCCCCCATTAGATCGCACGGCGGACCTGATCTCTTCAGCCAACTGGCGGTGCAGTTTCGGCCCCGCGCGACCGGTAAACTTGAGCAAGTTGGGGAAGAGGATCTTCATACCACCGAACGAATTAAAGCACGTGGCGAAAAGGAGGTTATGGCAAGCCTCCTCCCTCTTGATCCCCATCTTCTCCCCTTCGTCGAGGATCCGGCCTGACACCTGGTAGAAGAAATCGTAGAGCCTCTGATAGTCGGACTTGACGAGAACTGGGGGGAGACGGAAGGTATGAAGCAGGAGATCTTCTACAAGACTCGGCAAACCCAGGGTGAGAAGAGGGCCTAGTTGGAGCAGCACCCATTTCGCGACAAGATTGGGCCCGTCGTGGCCGAGCTTTGACTCCGATGGGTTGGCCCCATAGAAGGCGCGTGCGAGGAAATTGAAGCAGGCCTGATCATTAGGGCCACCGAAGTCGGCTTTCCCTTTTGCGGCGAGCTCACTCTCTAGGGTCTCGAAGAGCTCAGTGAAGGTGGCATGAAACTCTGGGATGATCCTCTGGCGGGAGGATTGGAGAAGGAAGAAAATGAGTTGCTTGAGCTTGGCATGATTGGGCTCGGACGGGTCCAAATAGGAAAGGACTCGGTAACCGCCGGTCAGTTGGGTGGAGGGCATGAAGGTGCCAGTGAATAGGTCTCTCTTCTCGACCTTGGAGACGTCGAATAGTACTGGAAAGCTCTGGCCGTCGAGGAGGACGATAACACGAGGGTTAGAGGCGATAAAGTGGCCAGGTGGCATGTTGGCTCTGAATACGGTTGACCGGTACTTCTGAATTCGGGACCTGAAGTAATCCTCTCGGCCTTGGTTATAGAAGTAATCGAGGCGATCTTTGGTTGGGCCGATAAAGGGTAGGCCGTAGTCTCCTGGGATTTTTCTGAGTGGGAGCTTGGGCGGTGGAGTTGATGGAGTAGCTGTAGTTGTTGATGAAGGTAATTCGGATAAAGAAGCGACGATCGGACGAAGCGATAAGCGACGAGCCAGCTTTAGGCTTTTACTCCTCGCCGGCGATTGCAGTCTCGGGGAATATGGAGGAAGTAGGGAGGAGGAAGCTATTCCAGCGTCAATCCTGGGCTGGGTTTGCAGAAAGATATTTTGGGAGGCGGAAAAGGGAATAGCCATGGTGGAAACGACTGACTCACTGGTGGTGCCCTTCAGTTGTTGGTACAATCAAAGAGTCGTTAGAGTGTGGCCTGTTCTGTTCTCCCTAGTTCCTGGCTTCCTGCTTCACATTCGACTGTGGCCTGTGGGGAACTGAGGATGGATAGTAGGATACTAGGATACTCACTCGTCAATGAGCATATTTGAAGCACGATGGACGGTGGGCCTATGGGCTGGGGTGTACGGTCGTGGAAGGCGTGCTGATTGACTCGTGTGGATTGGCCTCTTGGTATGGCTGGGCTGGGCCACCGATTTTCCGACTACCGAGTACCGACCACTATTATGTGCTGCTTTCATGAAATTTCGTTTTACAACAGAAAAAAAAAACACTAAAATAAAGGCAACTGCGTGGATGGACCATGGATATTCACATTTCATATGTAATGCACGTTTCGGGAGAGAATCTTGACTCGAAAAAATATAGAATATTGGCCCACGTGGTATATTGTGATTAGTTCCCTATATGAAATTTGGACTAAACTCTAAATTTCCTTAAATTTTTAATTGAAAATCACTTATATGAAATTTGGACCTAAGGCAAATTTCCCACTTAGTACTCTGTGCTTTAGTGTAATTTTGGTTCTTTACTTAAACTTTCAAAATGTGTCAATCGGTGAAAAACATACAAATTCTTTTTTAGTGTCATCTAATTTTCTTTATAAACTATTCAAACATTGATAAAAATTTAACTAGTTGGGGTCATGTTTCGGTAGATATTTTAGTGGCCCTAATCTTCTTGAATAGAAGAAACAAGGATTTGAGATTGTTAATTTTTTGTCAATATTTTTAATGATTTATAAAAAAAATTAGATGACACTCAAAAGACATTTATATATTTTTTAAATACTATTTAACGATTAATTAACAACTAATTAACCGTAGGTATTGAATTGACACATTTTAAAATTTTGGATATTAAATTGTTATATTTTAAAATTCCCAAATTACATGATAGTACTTAGGAATTCCCATAAAAAATTTAGTAAAAACACAATTTAGTAAAAACCTCGACATCATCAATCAAATCTCAGCTCGGAGAAAGCACATCTTGCCGAATTGGACACATGTATCATGATGTCAATGACCACTTGGCACCACCACTGCCCATATCATGAGCCATAATAGAAGGTGGACCCAAACATCTCCCACGTACGCTGAGACGTATCAATCTCCTTCGGCAGATGTTTCATGAACTTCAACCACGTGTCTTAAAGTCTTTAATCACAAGGAGCAAGTGACCCACCTATTGGGATCTGCTCCTTAACACAGTATGCCTGATCACACCGACCTCATAACCACATCCCACCGTGTGTAGGGAAACACATCGGGAAGGTAATCTTCCAACCTTTTAAAACAATTCATTTGGATACATTTATTACACTGTAGACACCTCAGACGATTCTGATATTCTTCCTCCTTTATACTGATTTGATCGGAGTTATAAGCCTGGGATTTTACCCTGAGCCTTATGATTTCTTCTTCCGACATCATCAGATACAATATAAATTTTAAATATATACAAGCATATGCATTTAAATCAAATTGAATCGATTAATCATATCTGATAGGAATGGATCCATATTTGATCAAATTATAAATGGATTGTGATGCCGTTGAAAAGCGCCTACGTCTGGAGTAGCTCAGGCGTATCTTGTAAGAAGGAAGATAAGGTCAGAGGGTATCTCGGGTTTGTAACTCCGACGGTTAAGTCTATTATGTCGAATGATCAAGAGAGTGGTTGGATATTTAGTGAGTCATAAAGTATGAATTGAATATTAACTTACTTGAGATGCCTATCAAAATATATACATGTCAAATAGATGTAGGATACTTGTCATAGCTTAAGACACCTGAGTTTGCTCTGCCTTGGTGAAACTCGGATAGGACACCTATAGCTCTATTTAGACACCTGTTACCCGAACTAGGTCACATAGTTCTCAACTCGGACATCTATGGCCCAACTCAGGCCATCTGGTATCCGATCGAGACACCTGGAACCTGGCCCGGGCACTTGGAGCCTAATCAGGGCTACCTATTTAGCCATCTGTCGCATGTATCAACCACCTGGTACTTAAGTGCGACATGTTGTGCCGATTTGTCCTCCATGTTCTCAACATATGAAGTGGGCCTGAGATCAACTACCTTATGTGTCAATGGTCTTGTGGCATGTCCCACCAGGTGATCGCTTGATGGACAAGTGTTGAAATGTGGAGGTCTCTTCGCTGAGGTCAGAATTGCTTATACACACGAGCTAAGAAGCCCAAAGTAGCTTTACATGTCGCTGAGGTGACTCTTATCCTCTGAGACGACGACAGGACAATGGATTCCGAACTAAAACCACTTGAACATGCTATGTATCCCGTAGTTCAAAGGCCAGACTTACTTTCACCACATTGGATTCAAATTCAAATTCAGATAATCGAATAGCATTTGCCACTCTAAACAGGTTAACTACACAGTTGTGTACACCGAGGTATGGACCAATCAATTGAATATGCCAATGTTTCATGTACTTTGGATCCACACCTTATGCATACAAAACATTGGCGTGTTCACCCTGAACCCGGTGTGCATGACTTTCGTTGCAGCACATTCGGAATCTTGAAAATCGAAAATTCTGCACTTAAAAAGGAAGAATGGTCCATGAGCATGCTAACTCTGCCGGTTCGAGTCTCAACAAGTGTGGTCCTGGTCCTACTGTGATTGACAAAATTGCTTTGATAAAATGTTCTAAACCATAAAGGACACGAGCCAACCTAGAATGGAAAGCTTGGCAATTGATATTATTTTAGTGGAGCATAGATAATTCGGTGAAACAATCGTAGTAGGAGTGTCAATGGACAGGATTTGGGTTTAAGGATCCGTCCGAATCAAATTTGAACAAATTGGACAAACTAGTGATACATATTGAATCGGCTTAATCTAGACTTAATGGTTTAAAGTATTTATTGGATTGATTGAAACTAGTTCATTTATAATAGATTTATGTCGGACTGGATTGGATTAGACCAATATCTGGTCTATTGACATAAAATAAGAATATATCTGTCAATAGACCAAATTTGAAGTGGACCCAATCTAAATTAAAATCAAATTGAACAATTTAGATCTAAACACTCAATTAGACCAATTCAAATGATATTCAGTAATAGATTGAACCTGATCCATCTGTAATGGATTCATAACGGACAGGATAGGATTGGACCAATATCCCTATCGACAACCCTATTAGTAAGGCATGTGAAATGAATAGTTTAAGTCGGCCAGGTGTACGAAATGTTAATTTATAAATTTTGTCCATAACTCAGGTGCAAAACGTGTGTTTTAGGGTATATATATGTGCCACGTCCTGATAGAAATACGCTTTTGAACACACATACATGTCATGACTTCATAAAAATACATTCTAAGGAAAAGACAAAAGAATCACAAAAGGGAAAGAAAACGTTGAGAAAGGTCTCACTAAGTAGCTCTAGGGATGCAATTCAAGCCCGAATTATAGTCACACGTGGCTATCTTGTATTATGAGATGTGCAGTTTATTGTGGGTAGGGCTTGGGTGGGTAGAGAAAGTGAGTAGGAAATTTGGGTTTTAATTTTACATGATTAATCTTGGGCCTAGAAAATAAGGCTTTTTCTTTTAATTTTTAGGTAGCCAAAAACTAGTCTGAGCGCAATTCAATATATATATTTATATCAACTAGTAATTAAGCACGTGCATTGTATGTGAAAAGTTTTTTCGTATTAATTACTTGAATTTTAGATATATCATAATTAAGATAAAAATTGAAAATTAATAAAAGTAATAATATAATTAAAAATAAACTCAAATGCTTGTATTAAATGTGCACGTGCATTGCATGTGGAAATTTTAAATTACAATTGTTATTGTTGTTGTTGTTGTTGTTATTATTATTATTATTATTATTATTATTATTATTATTATTATTATTATTATTATTATTATTATTATTAAATTTTGTATTCCATTTTTGACATAAATAAAAATAAATTTTATTTTAACAATTATTTTTATTTATTATGATGAATAAATAACATTATAAATATTCCCAAATGTGATATAATTTTTTACTTTTTCATTGTTTGTGTTCTATCTTTTTTTTAATATTTATTATTCAATTATAACATAATGAGTTTTTTTTTTAAAGTTGGATCATTGATCCACTATCTAGATAAGAAAATAACTTTCATATTTGTTTTAAATTATATATCATCAACATTATATAAATAATTTTTACTTATCATACATAATTTATGTTTGACATAATTAATATATAATTTTTTATATATTCTTTTGATTACATGTATTTTGTTATTTTTTTAAAGATTTATTATTTAACTATCATATCATTAGTTAAACCACTAATCCACAATCCTAAAAGGAAAATAATTTGATTTCTAGGTTGACACTAAATTTTATATTGCATTTTCATCATTAATAACAAATGTATATTATTAGAGATGTACCCAATATTTATCTTTATGAATATATAACATTAGATATGTGTCCAATTTTTTTCTTTTTTTATTATTTATATTTCTATTTTTAAAAGTTTTATTATTTGACTATGACATTATTTCATTTATAGGTTGATTTTAACTTTGTCAGTCCATTTTCATCATTAATAAAATTACTTCTTACATTTCATACACATTTTTATTTAGTATAATAAATATGAAATATTAGATATATGTTCAATCCTTTTTATTTTTTGTATTATATATTTTATATATTTTAATTTCTTATTATTTAATTATTACATTATTTATTAACTCATTTGAGCCAAAATGGTTGAATTGCTTACTCGCCATTGGGAGGGAAGAAAATAGTTTTTTTTTCAAAATATTTATTTTTATAATATGAAAATTAATTTCGTGGATTTAATAAGAGAATATATCTTAATATGAGATTTAATGAGAGAGAATATGAAAATAGTTTTATTTCTAATTGGTTTTAAATTTTACATTCTATTTTCATCATTAATAAAAACATTTCTTATTTATCATACTTATTATTGTTTAATATGTTGAATATATAATGTTAAAAATGTTCCCAATTTTTTTTAATTTCTATATTTTTTTATTTTATTTATTTTTCAATTTTATTATTTAGTTGTGACACCATGGCTTGGCCCATTTGACCCGAAATGATTTAATTTCTTACAACTGACTAGATGAAAACACTATTTTTTTCAGGTAGATGTTAAAAGTATGTTTTTATGTTATTGCAATTATTAATTTATTATGTATGGATTTAATTAATAGAATTTAATGATGAGAATAAATAAA